GGAGAGGACCTGCTCGAATTTTTCAACGACAGGAGGCAAAAAGGAGGCCTAGGCAATGAGCTAAGCATCAGTGTGGTATCATTGCTGCATAAGAAAGGAGATAAAGAAGACCTGAACAACTACAGAGTCATATCACTACTCACCACCCCTTACAAAATCCCCGCTAAGGCTCTTGCGAATAGAATCACAAAACTAACGAATAAATGCACACCGACCAAGCAGGCTTTATCCCGGGCCGATACATACTAGACAACGCGATGTCGCTGAATGAGGCAGCAAAGAAGATCGCAGAAAAATGAATGAAGGCTGCAGTCCTGTTTTTTAACTTCGAAAAGGCCTACGATCAAGTCAATTGGGATTTTCTCCATGCCTGCATGAAGAAAATGGGAGTGGGCCTGAACTTCAGAGATTGGGTGAAACCGCAACAGGCAGAGTCCAGGTCAATAGGATCCTATCGGAGACATACCCGATATCAAGACAGATCAAACAAGGCGACCCATTGGCTCCGCCCATATCCCTCTTCATTATGGAAGCCATAGCTTGCTTCCTTCGGAAAGACCCGTCCATCAACCGCCTTACTGAATGCAACTTCAATCCATTACACAACTTCACTCTACCCTTTGCACACTTGTGCGTACTGTCCTCATTCGCGCCAGTAACTGTTCTTTCCAAGCCGTCGTAAGAGCAATGGAAGCCTCCAGACTGGCATCAGAAATGAAAAGGTCAAGTGGGGCAAAACTGAAGGTTGGTGGTTAGCAGACGGCACCCTTCCGCAACCAATCGATACAGTCACACCCATGTCATGGACAATGGGAGATCAGCACTCTGTTTCCTTGGTATCATGGTTTACAAGGACGGGGTATGACCAGGTATGGGTCAGAAACTAGTTGCCAGGGCAATCACCCGCTTGGCCCCATACAAAAATGCTCAGGCTTCACTAATCGGACGAGCTCTACTAATTAATACGGCAATCTTCTCCACACTGTGGTACATGGCATCCATCTGGCCTCCCCCTGACGACGACCTCAAGACTTTAAAGAACAGGGTGAGATGTTATATATGGACAGGAGACCCCAATAGGACCACATGTATCAACAGGGTAGCCTGGAACCACATTATTAGGAAACCACAAGGGGGGGGGCTTGGGCTAATTGACCCCAAACAGGAGTCCATAGCACTGCAGATGAAATGGATTATCAAGATCCTGATTAGAAAATTTATTCCATGGACCCAGATGGCTCTAGACAGCATCAGAAACCTGGCACCTATCTACTCCCCCCCGAATATGAGAGGCCTCTTCTGGTTAATTGCGAAGGACTGGACAATCAAATCATGCAGACCTCACAGAAGAAACCCACCAGAGCCTATCACAACCCCCACCCATACAGCTATCTCTTACTGGAGCCTTACCATCAAATCCTGGTGCAGAATGATGCCAAGCAAACATGGGATACCAGGAAATGGAGAAGAGGGCCTGAGACCCTAGTGGGGTGCCGTGGACACTACGCATAAAGGACCGGAGATGGCTGTCCTGGGTGGAAAATGGGGTGTGGCAGGTGAAACACATGGGGGCGGAAGATTGAGGACGATGGTCTACAGAACAGGAGTTCCGAAATGATTTAAAAGGCAGCCTTTCCCTTACTGAAAACCTAACATTGATGCAGAAGAGTATTCCAACACAGTGGCGCTCCCTCCTAAGGGAGGATTTTCGTGGAAGTCCGGGGACTGGGGCATACTCATCTCCCAATCCCAGCCTACCAGAGCATATCGGTTTGTCTTTGAATCGATCCACTCAGCTACTTATCCAAATTCTACTCATACCCCATCGCTAATTACAGCCTTCAAGATCTGGAAATCCCGAACAAAGAACCCCAGTGCGACATACTAGAAGCCTTCTGACTGAGAAAAGTGAGAGTCTCAAAGGCCAAGCCCTGGAAAATCTTCCAGCCAGATCTCAGCATTCAGACCTCGAATTTGACCCCAAAGAGTGGGTCTGGAAGCAGGTAAGTCCGGGAAAACGAGGACGATTCGGTTATGACCTGGGTCTACAGACCACAGATCTGGACCCCCGACTCGAAGGAAAGTGGAGGGAGATTATGAATCTAGACCCGGCGGACCCCGTTTCCATCCCTTGGACGAAGTACCTGTCTACTAGACCAGTTAGGATCCGAAGCATGCAGTAGCTTGTAGCACACACATCTCTGCTGGCCAATCAATGGCTCCACAAGAGGAGGAAATATACATACCCTGACAGCTCCGACTTAGGCAGATTGTGCAGAGACAACATCCCAGAAGATATACCCCACTGCCTACTGCATTGCACGGAAGCAGCATGGATATTGAACAAGGTGCACGACCTACGGTCCCTCCTCTTCTCATCACCCCCTCCGTCCACAACTCCTCTGAACATCCTGCTCCTGTCCAACAATACTAACAATCTCAAATGTGGCAAGGAAGTCTGGTGCGAGGCACAAGGCCTTGATACGCCCTACTGGGCCCTATTTTCAGCACAGTTGGCCGCCCTAAGTGAAGGCAGGCTCGACCGAGGCCTACAGGCCATTTTTGGGGTCACCACGCAACTGGGGAAATTCAGGCAGTTGCACAGCGCCCGGGCCCAGGCTGCCTCTTTCCAATGTAACTGAGGCAGGCCCTGGGCCAGATTCGCAACATGGACCGAACACAGGCCGCGGGCAGTTGGATACGGGCAACCACCACAGGCCCAGGGCCTGATTTGTTTGGACTCGGGATCAGCCTCTCTGGGCCTACTGGAAGCTTCTGGGCAGGGGCCCAGCACAGCCAAGCTGCAAGCAAGCAGGCAGGCCACTTCCATTTAGGAAAGTGCCTGCCCACGCATTCGGCATTCGGGCACTGGCTGCATGCTGCTCAAACGCTGGCCAGCGCTCACACGCTCACGGGCGAGCTGGAAGGAGCAGGCAGCCATAGCCGAGCTGCACTGCTGTATGCTGGATGGGGCGCATGGTGGTCCTTGGGTGCATGTGGCATCTGTGAGTTGGGGAACGAGGTTGTGAGTGATACGAGAGACATACCTGGTGCTTTTAGCATACGGCATTGGCCGAGATCTGCTCGTACTTCGGGGAGCTGTTGACGTCATCAGCGGCATTGTAGATAGGCTAGATAGGATCTGCCATCTGTAGTCTGGGCACCGAGTGCCAGATGGGATATCGACATTGGTTCTTCGTTGATGATGATGAGACTATTCCAGCATTGTCAATTATGAGCTTTTGCTGTGCTCTTATTTGGTGGAACTCGTGATGCAATTCTGCTATTGGTTCGAGGTCACGACTATCTGGTCTCATGTGTATGATGCTTTTTGGTTTCTGAAGTTCACTATCGCTCATTTTCTTTGCACTGGTTTCACCCGCTTAGAAAGCTGGCTCTATGGGTAATCTGGAAAAGGAGGTGTACCAAGACTATTGAGGGTACCAAAGTGGCAAGGGAAGACATGTGAGTTCTACTGCTGGGAAGGGCAGAAACTGAGATTGGATCCAGATGGAGGGAGGTGACATCAACAACGAAAGTCAGACCAGAAAGACTAACCACCAAGAGACGGTCTTTCGTGAGAAACTGGCTTCTTCAGGGAAAGATTGCAACTGTGGCAGATAACAGATTGATTTGGAAAAAATGGCACAGCGCAACTCCAGCAAGGATGATGACCCACTGATGGGCAAACTGAGATTACAATCTCAACAATACAGACAACTCTCCTCTTTTCTTGCTTTACATGGACCATCTGACAGAGTTGCAGTAGATTCTGAGAGGAAAAGTGGTAGGGCAAGCTGACAGTCAATCCTCCTGCTCTGGAGCAATCAATGCTGGTCAGGGTTCCTTCGGCCAGATGGAAGGAAGCGCGAGAGTGTTCACCATGTATTTCAATTCTTGACTTGCCGGTGGAAAGGAACCGGGCTGATGCTCCTCAGAATGGATATGGAGCCAGGACTGTAAGGACCTGTTAAAAAAAAAGGAATAATGTGGGAAAAATCTCTGTTTTGTGAAGAGTAAAGTCACTTTACCTTGTCCTTCAGGACATCCGTTAAAATTGGGACGATACAGATG